CTGAACATGTTCTATTCAGATGCAAGGATTCTGAATTTTGTTTTAAAAATATTTAGTTTTAATTTTTATTTAGTGTGTGTCTGTGTATGCATCACAAATGGGTGCCCAGGAGGCCAGGTGACTGTGAGCCACCCATTGTGGGTGTGGGAACTGAACTGGGGTCCTTTGGAACAGAACCAAAGGCTTCCAACTGCTGAGCCATTTCTCCAGGCCCTATATTTTTCCTGTTTTACACATCTACATGTGTCTTGTGGTATGTGTGCCTGTATGTATGGATGCTTCCTTTAATGTGTAGAGGCGCACATTTACATAGAGGTATGTACACACATGTGCATATGAAGGCCTGTGGCTGTCACTGAGTGTCTGTCAATCACTCTCCATCTTCTATATTGAGACAGTCTTTTACTGACACCAGAGCTCCCCATTTCAGCTAGTCTGCTTAGCCAGCATGCAGAGATCCCCTAGCTATATCTCCTGCCTGCTGCGATTACAGGTGAGCACCTTGCCCACTGGGTTTTAAGTGGATTCTGGGGACTGGAAGGGGATTGGAAGTCTGAGACTCAGAACCACTGGAGACCTGAGGACTGTGCACAGTGGACCTGGATCCCAGCCCGACGAGATTCAGCCCTCCCAGAGACTGCCAGCTTTGAAGTTCCAGTCTCCACTCACAGGACAGGCGAGGTGAGGGTCCAGCCTACCCAGAGTTTGCTAAGGTTCTGATACTAGGATGGCCTTCATCCACGCAAGAGGAAAGCCACCAGGGTATTGGACCTGCTCCCACCCACTGGAAAGGGGTCACATACACACCAAGGGAGGAAGAGACTCCTTCTGCACCCACAGGAAGAAATGATGGGAAGGAGACAATACAAAAACACACACACCAACAGAAAAACCAATATGACACCACCCCCAGAAACTAGAGAATCTACACCCGCAAGACCATTGTGGGAGAAGCAGATGAGAAAGACCTTAAAAGCAACTTAATGACAATTATAGAGGCCCTCAAAGAAGATATGAAAATATCCCTTAAAGACATGCAAGAAAAAACAAACCAAAAAAATACAAGAACTGCAAGAAATTGAGGAAAAAACAATCGAGAAAATGAAAAAATGCAAGAAATGGAAGAAAAAACAAAACAAAAACTTCAACAAATGCAAGAAAGAGAGGAAAAGACACAGCAAAAATTACAAGAAACAATTCAAAAAGTACAAGGGATGAAAGCTGAAATAGAGACAATAAAAAAACACAGTCTGAAGGAATGCTGGAAATAGAAAAGCTGGGCAAATGGTCAGAAACTACAGAAACAAGCATACCCAACAGAATACAAGAGATGGAAGATGGAATCTCAGGTGTTGAAGACACACTAGGGGAAATAAATTCATCAACCAAAGAAAAACTTAAGTCCAACAAATCTCTAACACAAAATATCCAGGAAATATGGGACACCATGAAAAGACCAAACCTAAGAAAAATAGGTATAGAAGAAGGTGAAGAAATCCACCTCAAAGGAGCAGAAAACATATTTAACAAAATCATAGAATAAAACTTTCCAAACTTAAAGAAAGACATGCCAATGAAAGTACAAGAAGCCTACAGAACACCAAATAGAGTAGACCACAAAAGGAAATCCTCTCACCACATAATAGTAAAAACCCCGAACATACAGAATAAAGAAAGAATATTAAGAGCAGCAAAAGAAAAAGGCCAAGTAAAATACAAAGGCAAACCTATCAGAACCAGACCTGATTTCTCCATGGAAACTCTGAAAGCCAGAACTCTACCAACACTAAAGAGAAAATGGATGCCATCCCAGACTGCTATACCCAGCAAATCATTCAATCACTATAGACAGAGAAAACAAGATATTCCATGAAAAAACCAGATTTAAACAATACATATCCACTAACCCAGCCCTAGAGAAAGTTCTGGAAGGAAAATCCCAATCCAAGGGAGTTAACTACAACCAGAAAAACATAAGCAATAGATAATCCCACTTTACCAACAGCCAAAAGAAAAGATGTGGAAGTCCACATATAATTCCACCACCATCATATATTCCAAAACAAGCAAGAATGAGCAATGAATGATTATTAATATCCCTCAATATTAATGATCTTAACTTGCCCATAAAGAGACACAGACTAACAGCCTGGATTCGAAGACTGAACCCATCCCTCTGCTGCATACAAGAAACACACCTCAGCCTCAAAGAGAGACATTACCTCAGAGTTAAGGGTTGAGAAAAGATTTTCCAATCAAATGGACCCAAGAACAAGCAGGGGTAGCAATCCTAATATTTAACAAATTAGATTTCAAAATAAAATCAAACAAAAGAGATGATGGAGGGCATTTCATACTCATAACAGGAGAAATACACCAAAATGAGGTCTCAAATTTGAACATCTATGCCCCAAATACAAAGGCACCCACATTCATAACAGAAACATTACTAAAACTCAAATCACATATAAAGCCCCACACACTTATAGTGGGAGACTTTAACACCCCACTCTCACCTCTAGAAAGGACTACCAGACAGAAACTTAACAAAGAAGCAAAGGAACTAAAAGAAGTTATGACACAATTGGGATTAACAGACATCTATAGAACATTCCACCCAAATAAAAAGGAATATACCTTCTTCTCAGCGCCACATGGAACCTTCTCAAAAATCAACCACATCCTTGGCAACATATCAAATCTCAACAGGTACAAAAAAAATTGGAATAACTCCATGCACCTTATCAGACCACCATACATTAAAATTAGAATTCAACAACAACACAAATTGCAGAAACCCTACAAAATCATGGAAGTTGAATAATGCGCTATTGCACCATTCCTGGGTCAATGAAGAAATAAAAAAAAGAAATTAAAGACTTCCTAGAATTCAATGAGAATGAAGACACAACTTACCCAAACTTATGGGACATTTTGAAATCAGTGCTACGAGAGAAGTTCATAGCACTAAGTACCCACATGAAGAAACTGAAGGATAGTTACACTAGAGAATTAACAGCACAGCTGAAAGCTCTAGAACACAAAGAAGCAAATTCACCCAGGAGGAGTAGATACCAGGAAATAATCAAATTGAGGGCTGAAATCAATAAAGCACACACTAGGAAAACAATACAAAAAATCAATGTAACAAAGAGTTGGTTCTTTGAGAAAATCAACAAGATAGGCAAACCTTTAAATTAACAAAATCAGAAACGAAAAGGGGGACATAACAACGGACAGTGAGGAAATCCAGAGAATCATCAGGTCATACTTTGAAAACCTGTACTCCACACAATTTGAAAATCTAAAGGAAATGGATAATTTTCTGGATAAATATCATTTGCCAAAACTAAATCAAGAACAGATAAGCAATTTAAATAGACCTATAACCTCTAAGGAAATAGAAGCAGTCATCAAAAAAGTCTCCCAACTAAAAAAAGCCCAGGGCCAGATGGCCTCAGTGCAGAATTCTACCAGAAATTCAAAGAATAGCTTATACCAATTCTTCTCAAAGTATTCCACGCAATAGAAGCAGAAGGGTCTTTGCCAAGCTCTTTCTACAAAGCTTCAATAACCTTGATATCCAAGCCACACAAAGACACAACTAAGGAAGAGAACTTCAGACCAATTTCCCTCATGAACATTGATGGAAAAATACTCAATAAAATACTGGGGAGTGCCAGCCTACAATCCCACAGCCAGAGAGTCTGGGAAACAGAACCTTCATCCAATGACTAATGGAAGCAGACTCACAAAGCTAAACACTGAGCTGAAGTCAAGGAACCCAGTGACAGAAGGAAGACTGATGAGCAAAGGGGTTAAGACTCGGTTGGTTTAACCCCCCAGAAACATTTCACCTGACAAGGGTTAGCTCTTGAATACCAGACTGATGGCTGGTAATCCAGCATGGGACTGATCAAGACACCCTGAATATGGGTGTCAGTGAGGAGACCTAGGCAATCTATGGGGCCTTGGGTAGTACATCATTATTTATTTCTGGCATACAAATGGTCTTTGGGTGCCCATCCCACAATGAGAGATGCACTCTCAACCTGGACTCTTGGGGGGAGGGTCTAAGCCCTGCCCTGGATGAAATGACAGACGATGGAAACCCCCATGGAGGGCCTCACCCTCCCTGGGGAAAGGGGTGGGTACTAGGTGGGGGTTGGTGGGAGGGCTTGGGAGAAGGGGAGGGAAAGGGAGAGGGATGTTGTTTCTAATTTAAATTTAAATTTGAAAATGAAAAAAATTTAAAGGAGGCCTTAGGGTCTCTACTGTTGCAGTCTTCTAGGTATTGGAGGTAATCGAAGTATACTAGTTCCTTTCTGTTGTTGTGATAATCACCATGACCACAAGCGAGTTAAGGAAGAAAGGACTGATTTCATCTGACACTCCCAGATCAGTCTACCTTTGAGGGAAGTCAGGATGTCCCTCAGGGAAAGAACTTGGATATAAGAGCCATAGAGACGCTGCTGACTGGCTTGCTCACTCCCACACGCTCACATACATTTCCTGTACAGTCCAAGTCCTCCTGCTTACACATGGTGCCTCCCACAGTGGGCTGGGCCCTTCCATGTCAATCATCAGTCAAGAGGCTTTCTCAATGAAATGGTCACAGGCCAGTCTCATCTTGGCCATCCCCAACTGAGACTGCATCAGTTAATCATGGACTGCAGGGCAGAGGAGGCAATACAGAGGGAAACAGCAGGAACAATAGATCCTGATAGGTGAAATGGAGAAAATGGGGGTGTATAGTTAGAAAGAGGACAGGAGATAAATCCAGAAGGAGGGAGGAGGATAAAATGAGTAAGGATGCCTGGAAAAAGTCATATGTGATCATATTATTAACCATCTACCTGGAAATATCCCCAATGTATTCCAGACACAATTCAAGTTACTGACACCAGCACCTTTCACACAAACAAATCAAAGTGCACACAGTTAAGTAAAAGTAACATTTATTTTATATACATGAATATGTTTAATACTATAACCTGCTATTTGAGGAGTTGTGAAAGACACCAACAAATTTACCCATGGAAATGGCAAGGATATAGAATGGTTATTGCACCCATAAACTCACAGTACTAACGGCTATCTGCACTAGACCAAGAGAGCCCAGGGCCACAACCCTAATTAAGTGCAGTAGAGCATTAAAAAGTTCAATGAGAAGATAGTGGATAAGGGCTTGGAGGAGATGGATTTTTAAAAAAAAGGACACTGGGGGAGATGAATATAATCAAAACATATTATTTATATAATTGTGAATGAATAGCACATTCATAAGAAAAACACTTAGTTAGCATCATTATTGCCAACACCTAGAACGTGCACAGTAATCTCCTCTCCCGTGTACGCCATGGTGCCATGTCTCGAATGCATCCAGGACTCAGCACCGGCCGGGCTGGGGCCAGGCTCTGAGCAGGGTTAGGCTTCTACAAGTTGCTGCAGGAACGACAGGCTCCCATAAAGCGCAGACATGGGCATCTTGGCTTCCAGATCCCAAGTTGACCTGGGATTATTCAGCTCCATCTGCAGCCCACACTCGCTCAGCAATCCGTAAGTAATGGCCAGGCCCTCCCCCTGGAGTGGGGCGAGGAGCTGAGGCTGCAGAGTGAAGGGGATGTTCCAGGGATACTTGAAGTTCGCCTGCAGGATGCTCTTCACCTACAAGAAAGACTCTCTCTCAGGTTGGGCAGACCAGACTGTGACACCAGAGTGAGACACATTCTGTCAGAGCAGCCCGGAGGCAATGAACTAAGCAAGACCCAAAGCCACCATGTATAGTTTCCGCAGCTACATCACGGTAATAATGAAGTCTGTGCTGCACAAGAGTCGTGTGTGTGTGTGTGTGTGTGTGTGTACATATGGCTACTTATTTCCCACAGAGATGCCTTCCTATTTAGATCTAGCAGGCCTTGCTTCTGAGGCCACCATAAGTACAGAGATGCTCATGACAGGTTCAGGTCCAACCTGCCTGCTCCTCAGACACAGAAGGCAACCACAGGTTACATGGCTCCTCTCCTTGTGGAAACTTCCTTCTAGAATGTTCTTCCATTTCTTGTTTTCATCTCCCCCTCCCTGGATGCCAGCCCCATGGGGGTTTCTTACCAGTTGTCTTTGCTGGAGGAGAAACTGCTTTTCCACAGACTGGGCCAGCAGACTGAGTTGGGTATCACTCAGCACTGGGGGAAAGACACGTGAAGAAACAGAATGACAGACTCAGTATTGGCCTCTCACCATGAACTAGGAAGCCAACGAAAGGATACTCTGGGACAGATGAATGTGTCCCCATAGGAGTTGAGGGTCACACTCACTGACCTAGAGCACCTAGCTGTGCTCTAGAATCCTAAGTGACATGACCCAGAGCATGAAAATCTAAGAGCTGAAGCAGGAATCTTCTACCAAGGCTGTGTTGGGAGCTTGGTGACTGCTCACTCTCTACACTTCAGACCCCATCTGTGGTACGTGGACTCTAATCATTCTAGCCAGGCTGACCTTAGAGAGAAGGAGGATTGGGAATGGTCATGAGAACTCAAGAGCCCTGGAGAGGTGGCATCTAAAACAGCCCTCTGACAGCAAGAACTGGGACTCTCCCACTTTCCCCAGATCTTACCCATTAGGGCGTGAAGGAGATAAAGAATGAGGTCCTTTAGAACATTCCATGAGTCCTTTCTCAGCTCATCGAGGATCACACCACCTGGGCCATCCATGTGCCCCAACTGACCCAACTCCAGCTAGAGAGACAGGTGTTCTGTTAACATCACCACACTGCTGGGTCCAGTTGACTTTATATATGCTGGACCACTACTCTGCCATGAAGACACAGCCTGGCTCCCTTTTCTCTCCATTTTTCTCTTTTATGTCACGGGGTCTCGTGCTGTTGCCCTCGGCAGCTCTGAACTTGCTATGTGGTCTAGGAAGGCCTTGAACTTGCAACCTTTCTGAAAATAGCTTCAGCCTCCCATATCTGGCTCAAAACCATTGCAGTGTCATGTGCCTATGTCCAGAGGAGTTATGCAAGGCATGGACTAAAGGTTCTGCCTCCCCAGGAGGATCCTGAGCAGAATTCATGGCACACACTCCCCACCACTGTTCAAGGACCCCTTATCCACAGACTTTGAAATCTTTCTCAGTCTCCTGGGTACCATGGGCATCCCTCCTCCCTCATGTATGTTGGCACGCCCATCACCCAAACTGTCCCTTACAGGTTTGATCATCTCTAGAAAGCTATGGAAATCTCACCATGATCATCAGGTCATACAGAGTGTCCCTGTCTCCTAGCATGGGCAGGAGACTAGAGAACACAGCATCTTGAACGTCCTTTGAAAGCATGGCCAGTAACCCTGTTTTCTCAGAAATCTCATTTTGTAGATGCTGGAAATCTGCTCACAGACAGAAACACCAATCAGAAAGTGAGAGCAATTCTGCAATTAAATATTCCCGACATGGTAAGCCTTTCCCTTCAGCACCATTTCCAGTGCTACAGGCACCTCCATGGATAGTCTGCCTGGGCCCCAGTGAGGCAACTATCCTGAAGCTAACAGTACTAGACAGCAGGCAGCTTCAGAGCTCTGGAAGGAGGGAGCACAGCCCTGGGAGAGCAGATGGGCATCCTGAAAACTGCTTAGCACAGGTGGGAGGAAAGTGTTCATTCTGGGTGTCAGGAAGGAAGTGTCCTGTTGGACCCCAGAGATGGCAGCACTCAGCGATTCCCAATCAGTTTCCAAGAGTGACAAATGGGGACATGATGAGGGGTCATGGACTTTGTGTGTCAGGCACCTGGCATGTAAGAGGGAGTCTTATTAGTAAGAATCTCTACTGTCTATGGAGAAATAGCCGAACATTGTGTTTTCGGAAACCCCAATTCTTGCCAAGTGTCCTCTAGGTGATCTGTGAGTGTGAGAGGGACCATAGTGGAACTCAGAGGCATGGGCACTCTCATCTGATCATTTCACATTGCCCTCGCTGGAGTGCTGCCTGCTTCCTGGTAAATCCTCAGTGAACATTATTAGTGCACAAAGTTGTGCTTGTGTGAGATCAAATAACTAAAAATACGAAAGTAGACCTTGGTATTCTGAGTTCCAAAGAAGGTTGTCATTTGAGTCACAAGCCTGGGGTTTCCTGTTCAAAGCCCAGGTTTCCAATATAGAAGAAAAAAACTCACCATTAGGTAAGGGTTCATCTAACCTTCCTAGAAAAGAAGACACACACGTTGGAGATCCCTCTCCTGCTTCTCCTCCTGCCCCATCCAGTCTTCCATGACCTTTCCCCTCCCACAGGAACCAGGCTAGGGTTGAGGACAGTAAGATGACCTAGATCTCCGTGACAACCCCACCAGACACACACTCACCTATTGGAGAGATGCAACTTAACTCCCAGTCTAGAAAGAGAAAATCCATTTCCCAGCCCAAGTATTAGTATTTGACCTTACTTCCCCTGCATCCCTGACATTTCTCAGTTCTCCACCCCCACCCAAGTGCAGAAAACCAGATCTCAAGACCCTGGGTACAGACAGTCGGGGGGGGGGGTGTTATTCGGGTGTCAGCATGAAGGAGCAGGTTTGACTTTCATGTCCCCAGAAGTGTTCGCTTACCTAGCTGTCTTCTAGAATGTGGTCCTGGAGTGAGAAAATAAAAGGATTCACCCACCACGAAACACGCTCTCCATCATCCTCTGACCCTAACCTTTCGAACTCCTCCATCCACCCTGGATTTTCACCTGGAGTTTCTACTTTCCCAAAAAATTCCCTATGATAAATCCATCCCCATGTAGATGCAGTCCAACAAAGACATACTTATCTCAGTTTCCAGAGCACATGTTTTGGGTTGAAAGTACTGCGGATGACCTAGAAACCTAGGCTGCATACGCAGTGTCCCTAAAAGTGTTTTCTTCTTAGCCTTAGCAGAAAGGAGAATGGCTGAATGGAAAAGAAACTGGGTTAGGAGAGTTGCAGTTACACCTGCTACAGTAGACTCCATACCTCATTTCGGGACTCTCAGGTAAAACCCCAGGGATGATGTCAACCTAGACACTAGTCTTTGTCCTGTGAACCAGGTCCTTTCACAGGTGCTCTGAAACTTGCGGTTCATGTTATTGAATTACGTGTGAGTGTGTGTGTGTGTGTGTGTGTGTGTGTGTGTGTGTGTGTGTGTGTGCCAACAGCACATGCAGAGGTCAGAGGACCACACGAGGTTCAAGAATTTGACACAGGGAATGAAACACAGGGAAGGAAAATGACAACATTTAACGTGTGAACTAACAAAGTTACACAAAAAGCAAACTTCAGAGTGTGTCTGCAAGTCACCTTCTGAGCACTAGGGGGCGAACAGGGCATCTTGTCTACACAATCAGGCACAGCAGGGAGGGACCCAACTGGGACAGTGTGCTCACTGGCAAGTAGGAATTTAGTCCTCATCACAGAACAAAAAGGACTTAGTGATTGTCACATTCCCTGGCCAGCTGCTTAGGAGAAAACTGACCCTCCTCACGTGTAAGGGGAAATGAGATATCTGCCCTGTCCCCAAAGCTGGCATGAAGACAGGAAGTAATGGCAAAGCATCCTGACCCAAACTGTCTTCAGTGCTCAGGTTCACCAAGCTCTTTGATTGACCAGACGACACTCTCTGCACCTTCAGATGCCTCACCCAAGATTCCTCTCCCATCATCACCTGCTCTCACACATGCCTCCCATTCAGATCCCCTCAGTGCTCTCTCCATGGGACATCACATTTCCCTTCCATCACACCTCAGCCTTCACAGTTGATCTTCCAGGGAACTCCCATGGATTTGGCCTCTGCAAACATGGCCTTGCTTCCCTTGGTACAACATCTGATCTACTCAGATCCAGGGGATTTGTTAGTGTTCATTAACACTTAACATTATCTGTAACAGTAAGGACGTCTCCCCAAGGCATTTCAAAGGCATCTCCAACCTTGTATCCACTCCCCACGCTATGCTTCTGTCAAAGGTCCAATAGAGTGTGGATAATCTTTCTCTAGAAGTCACTAATCACTAACTGTACTGTACTGTACACACCCCACACCCTATGCCTCTGCCAAGGGTCTAATACAGTATGGATAATCTTTCTCTGGAAGCCATAATTCAGCAATTATATCATAACATAAATGCTTCCTGGTCTCTTGCTGCCAGCTAGGGGATTGATTTTGGGACTTTCCCTTGACCAGAATTTGCAAGGTTAATATTTCAGGAGTGTGTGTGTGTGTGTGTGTGTGTGTGTGTGTGTGTGTGTGTGTGTGGTGTATCTTGGAGGATAGTACATTTCAAGCTAACAGCCATGGAGAAAACCCTATGCTATGTTGTCCATGCATTCTGCCTACAGTTTCATTTGGGTTCTGATTCCATTATTTTATGGAGATTTAATGCGGGTTTCTCCCTGCTGAGCTTCTGAGAGTGGCAGGACTTTGATTGGCTAGGAATTGATGACTAGAGAAGTCTGGGATTGGGCCCAGGCCTCATCAAACTAAAGACCTGAGCACCCCAAGTTGGATACCTTCCCAAGCAGGAAGCTGTCTTTGCATCTACAGATAGCAGTGTTTGAGCTTGCTCATGGTAGAGAGACATGTGCCTGGGACAGTGAGAAGTGCTCCTCCTGTTCTGTAGTCAGAAGAGAAGAGGAGGTTCAGGTCAATGGACACCCCACCCCCACGTCTGCTCACCACAAGTGTCATTCTCAATGACCAGTTGCTTCTTCTTGTAGGCCACCACTGCACCCTTTAGGATAGGCACTGAATCCTTTGTCTCCCTGTGCCAGTCGCCCTGGGCTTGAACCTAGGAAGACAAAATATTCCTGGAGTTTATACCTTTGTGTCATAAATATTATGTTTACTTTTCCAGTGACCGAGAGGGAGGAGTGATGAGCAAAGGGGTCAAGATGGGGCTGGTGAATCCCAGAGGAACAGCTGACCTGAACAAGGGGGAGATCTTAGACCCCAGACTGATGGCTGAGAGGCCAGCATGGCACTGATCCAGAGTCCCTGAATGTGGGGATCAGTGAGGGGACTCAGACAATCTATGAAGTTTTTGGGTAGTAGATCAGTATTTATCCCTGGCACACAAATGAACTTTGGGGACCCATCCCGCAATAAGGGATGCTTTCTCAATTTGGACGATTTGGGAAGGGCCTGGGCCCTCCCCAGAACGAAATGGCAGACTCTAGAGATCCCCCAAGGAGGGCCTTACCCTCCCTGGGGAATGGAGTGGGGATTGGATGGGGGGATGGAGAGCTGAGGGGAGGAGTAGACATGGAGGGGAGGGAGAGGAAGCTGGGACTGACATGGGAAGCAAGCTTCTTTCTAAATTAAATATATAATTAAAAAAGTGTAAAAAAATTATGTTTACTTTTAATCAAGGCAACAATGCCTGTAACTGAAAAGTCAAATGAATCTAGAAAGTTCATGAGAAAACACCAGCAGTCTCTCAGTCCCCTTCCTCCTGGTCCCCGTGTTCAGTTATTGCTTCTCCCCCTTTAGGACAATATTTACCTACACTGAGATTTGGGAGGTGAGCCTGGAGAGGCCAGGCAACTGAACCCAGAGCACCATGAATGCCAGGCTAGTGTCTGCCCTGAGCAATACACCAGCCCTGCTGCAATGTCTTCATTTTTACAAATATTTCCTGGCTCCTTCTGCACTGAGGGTCTCATTCTCATCCTCCACACTCAGTGCTGACAGCTCCACCCATGTTCACACCTGGGATTCTGGGCAGGAGCTTAGTCTCTGTCAGCTGTGGGTGAGACTGCATCTCCTCATCCCAGTCTTGTCTCTATCGGGCAGCAGGATGTCTTTGTCTTTTCTGTCCTGTTACCTGTTATCTCCTGGGGAGCTGAGAACTATATGCCGTGATACTAAAGACATATTTAATATGATACATATTTAACTTTCATGTGGTTCACATTTTGAAGGAGACAGAAACCTAAGCTCCAATTCCTTGGAATTTAAGTTTTCTTTCTTTTTTTATTTAAATTACAAACAAGCTTGTTTTACATGTCAATCCCAGTTCCCTGTCCCTCCTCTCCGCCCCTCTCTGCTCCCCAGGGAGGTGAAGCCTTCCATGGGGATCTACAAAGTCTGTCATATCATTTGGAACAGGACCTAGACCTTCCCCTGTGTGTCTAGACTGAGAGAGTAACCCTCTGTGTGAAATGGACTGATACACTACCAGAGGCCCATAGATTGCCCAGATCTTCAAACTGACACCCAGGTTCAGGGGGTCTGGATCAATCCTATGCTGGTTTCCCAGCTGTCAGTTTGGGATCCATGAGCTCCCCCTTGTTCAAGTCAGCTGTTTCTGTGGGTTTCTCAAGTCTGGTCTTGAGCCCTTTGCTCATCACTCCCTCCTATCTTTAACTGAATTCCAGGAGTTCAGTGTTTAGCTGTGGGTGTCTGCTTCTGCTTCCATCAGTCACTGGATGAAGGCTCTAGGATGGCATATAAGGTGGTCATCAATCTCATTATTGGAAAACTGCATTTAAGAATGTACTATTGCTTACATTCTTAGTTGGGGTCAACCTTGTAGATCTCTGGACACTTCCCTAGAGCCACATTTCTCTTTAAACCTCTACTGGCTCCCTCTATTATGGTATCTCTTTTCTTGCTCTTCTCTATTCTTCCCCTGACTCAACCTTCCTACTCCCTCATGTCCTCCTTGTCCCTCCTCTTCTCCCCTTCTCTTTCTCTTAACTTCTTCTCCCCTCCCCACATGCTCCCAATTTGCTCAGGAGATCTTGTCCATTACCCCTTCTCCAGGTACGTTTCTCCTAGGGTCTTCCTTGTTTCCTAGCTTCTCTGGTGGTGTGGATTGTAGGCTGGTAATCCTTTGCTCCATGTCTAAAATCCATATATGAGTTACTACATACCATGTTTGTCTTTTTGTGACTGGGTTATCTCACTCAGGATGGTTTCTTCTAGTTCCATCCATTTGCCTACAAATTTCAAGATTCCATTGTTTTTTTTTTCACTGAGTAATACTCCATTGTATAAATGTACCACATTTTCTTTATGCTTTCTTTACTTGAGGAGCATCTAGGTTGGTTCCAGGTTCTGGCTATTACAAATAATGCTGCTATGAACATGGCTGAGCAGATGTCCTTATAGTATGAATATGCATCTTTTGGGTATATGCCTAAGAGTAGAATTCCTGGATCTTGTGGTAGACTGATTCCATTTTCCTTAGGACCTGCATACTGATTCCCAAAGTGACTATAAGAGTCTACACTCCCACCAACAGTGTAGGAGTATTGCCCTTTCTCTACATTCTCTCCAGCATAATCTGTCATTGGCGTTTTTTATTTTAGCCATTCTGACAGGTGCAAGATGATATCTCAGAGTTGTTTTGATTTACATTTCCCTGATGGCTAGCAATGTTGAGCACTTTCTTATGTGTCTTTCAGCCATTTTAGACTCCTCTATTGATAATTCTCTATTTAGTTCTGTACCCTACATTTGAAGTAGATTAATAGATGTTTTGGTAACTAGTTTCTTGAGTTCTTTGTATATTTTGGAAATCAGCGTACTGTCAGATGTGGGCTTGGTGAATATCTTTTCCTATTCTGTGAGCTGCTGTTTTGTCTTGCTGATGTGTCCTTTACCTTACAGAAGCTTCTCAGTTTCAGGAGGTCCCATTTATTAATTATCAATCTCAGTGTGAATGCCACTGGCGTTACATTCAGGAAGTGGTCTCCTGTTGAGGAAATATAACCATACAGGGGATATGGATACTGATGGTTGCTTATTAAAGGGAAATCACTTACATGAGAAACTGATAACCAGATTGGCACTCTGAGAATCCAGTCTCAATAGCACTCGAAGAACCAAAAGAGAGGGCAAGTGCCTGCCTCCTCACATCTTTATTCCACACGCCACACTCGCACCTGTGGCCATAGAGATCTCCAAACGGGCATGGCCAGTGCCACAAGTACACAGAGATTTCCCCCAACAGTCTCCTGTATCATTTCATTCAAGGGTACCTCCCACTTTCTCTTCTAAGAGGTTCAGTGTGGCTGCATTTATGTTGAGGTCTTTGATCCATTTGAATGTAAGTTTTGTGGATGACGATAGATATGGATCTGTCTGCCGTCTTCTAAATGCCAGCATCCAGTTATGCCAGCACCATTTGTGGAAGATGCTTTCTTTCATCCATTGTATGATATTGGCTTCTTTGTCAAAAATTGGGTGTCTGCAGGTGTGTGGTTCAATATCTGGATCTTTGATTTGATTCCATTGGTCTACATGTCTATTTTTGTGTCAATACCAAGCTGTTTTCAGGACTATAGCTCCATAATAGAGATTGAAGTCAGGGATGGTGATGCCTCCAGAAGTTCCATTATTGTACAGGGTTAGTTTTGGCTATCCTGGGTCTTTTGTTTTTCCATATTGAGTTGAGTATTGTTCTTTCAAGGTCTGTGAAGAATTGTGCTTGGATTTTGATGGGGATGGCATTGAATCTCTGGATTGCTTTTGGCAAGATTGCCATTTTTACTAAGTTGATCCTACTTATCCAAGAGCATGGGAGATAATTCCATTTTCTGGCATATTCTTTAATTTCTTTTTTAAAAACTCAAAGTTCTTGTTATACAGGTCTTTGGATTGTTTGGTTAGCATTATCCCAAGGTATTTTATGTTGTTTGTGGCAGCTGTAAAGAGTGATGCTTCTCTGAGTTCTTTCTTGGCCCATTTATCATCTGTATATAGTAGGACTACTGATTTTGTTGAGTTAACCTTGTATCCTGCCATATTTCTGAAGGTGTAGGAGTTTCCTGGTAGAGTTTTTGGGATCACTTATGTAAACTATTATATCATCTGCAAATAGTGAAAGTTTGACTTCTTCTTTTCCTATTTGTATCCCCCTTGATCTTTTGTTTTCATACTGCTCTAGCTAGAACTTCAAGTACAATATTAAAGAGATGTGGAGAGAGTCGACAGCCTTGTTTTGTTCCTGATTTTAGAGTAATCACATTGAGTTTCTCTCCATTTACTTTGATGTTGGCTGTTGGTTTGCTGTATATTGCTTTGATTATGTTTAGGTATGTTCCTGTTATCCCTGATTTCTCCAAGACTTTTATCATGAAAAGGTGTTGGATTTTGTCAAAGACTTTTTTCAGCATCTAGTGAGATTTTTTTTCAATTTGTTTATATGGTGGATTACATTGACAGATTTTCGTATGTTGAACCATTCCTGCATCCCTGGGATAAAGCCTACTTAATCATGGTGGATGATTTTTCTGATGTATTCTTGGATTCGATTTGCCAGAATTGTATTGAGTATTTTAGCATCAATGTTCATGAGGTATATTGGACTGTAGTTCTAGTTCTTAGTTGTGTCTTTGTGTGTCTTGGGTACCGAGGTTTGAAGTCTCGTAAAAAGAGTTTGTTAATGACCCTTCTACTTCTATTGTGTGGAATACTCTGAGGACAATTGGCACTAAGTATTCTTTGAACTTTTGGTAGAATTCTGCACTGGAATCAACTAGCCCAGGACTTTTTTGGTTGGGAGATTTTGATGACTGCTTCTATTTTTAGGGGTTATAGGTCTATTTAAATTGCCTATCTGTTCTGGTTTAATTTTGATTAATGATATCTATCCAGGAAATTGTCCATTTCCTTTAGATTTCTGAATTTTGTGGAGTACAGGCTTTCAATGTATGACCTGATGATTCTCTGGATTTCCTCAGTATCCATTGTTATGTTCCCCTTTTCATTTCTGATTTTGTTTCTTCAAATGCCCTCTCTCTACCTTTTGGTAAGTTTGGATAAAGGTGTGTCTATCTTGTT